AGAGAGACAAATTCTCTCCATAGTGGCAGATAACCACCAGTGGCACAGGCAGATGTCTCTGATTCAGAGGTTCAAGCCAGATGCTAAAAAAACCATTTACTGGTGGGTAATGCAGTACTGGAATGGGCCACTCAGGCTGCAGAGTCTCCATCCTTTAAAAGGTTCTCTAGACTTTGCTAGACAAACCAAGGCTGACCTGATGGCTGGCTACCACTGCTGGTAGCCCTGCTTTGAGCAGGAGGCTGGGCTAGAAAATGCCAAAAGTCCAGTGTATTTTTAATTTTGTGAAAACTCTGTAAGGTCTAATTGTGTTCCTGCTGAGCCCTGGACATGTAGCTTCCCACTGAAGGCTGGTGGGACTGCTGGGTGCAGGGTGGGGACTTCAGGACAGAGCAGTCCTTTCAGCTGATCACACTTATGCAAACTTTCTGCTCCGGGAAGATTTTCTATTTATAGAGGCTGACATAAAACCAGTGTCAGTGAATGAAATTCTGTCCACACACTTCTGTTGGTTTTGGATCAAATCCTAACCCCCCTCCACAGGGAAGGAAGGAGCAGCAAGGCAGTTGCCTAATCCTCCTGTGACCATGGGAAATTCCCTTTCGTCATAGAATCCTGTGGCTGGTGCTGTGTGGCCCCAGAGGGAGCACTGCAGGGGAAGTGTGCTGACAGCTCTGACCAGCATCAGCTTTCCCTGCCCAGCACACCCCTCCAAAAGTGAAACCACTCGGAGGGAGCAGTAGTAGCAAAGGTTAAAATAGTGGGCTGGAACAGTCCTAGAGAAGGCTGGAAGTATGTCAAATTGTTTTGTTGTGCCACAGGATCCTCCTCCCCTTGGCTTTATCCACACCACGTTCATTTTTGTCCATAGTCTACACTTCCCTAAAAAGTACATTAAAAATGTTTTGCCCTGTATAAAGAATCGGCCTGTCAGGCTCAGACTGGATCACAACTGTTCAAAAGCCTTTCAGCTAAATAAAGGAAGTTCTTCAGGGGAGTTTGTAGACGAGTTTTAAGGAATTTTACAGAAATTCTTTGACACTTAAAGTAGTTTTAGGTACTTCTGTATTTTTAGACTATCACATGCTGGGGAAACAGAGTAGTTGAACAATCCTGCATTTGTTTACTCCTTTCAACTGTTGTTTTCAGTTTAAAAAAAACCCTTCAGTATAAAACTATAAAGCTTAATTTTAATCCATAATTAGAGAAACCATAAATATACAGCCCAAGCAGTGCATGTCTGAACTAATTAAACATAATTATTATTGAACATGTTAATTAAAAAACCCCAGTATTTTACCTATACATAATTTATCCAGAGAAGTTTAAAGCCTTTCTGATAATACAGAAGCTTATAAATAACAGGCAAGGAAAAACCTCTTTAGGCTCCCATGAGGACTGTCTAGTGCAGTAATTAGACAGTTAAGAACACAAAAGTTTAGTTTAACAGTCACACAGACTGAACCCAGTTACAATCAAATTCAGAACAAAGTGGAGGTTTTAGAGGCAGCAGCATTAAAGGAGCACAGCATTAGACAAAGCCTCAGCAGAGCCAGTGTGCACAGTGAGAGAATGACACAGGAGCAGGAGACCAAAGCATTAGGATGACCCAAATACCAAAGCCTCTGATGCACGATCAGTAAACACTACACTTCAATATTTCAGCACAGTTCCCAGCATCATTTCTCAATCTGGTTATTCCAGTTAAGCATCTGTGCAGGATAACTTTGGCAGAGAGGTTGGTTCAAAGGTGCCACTTTCTTTGGCACCTTGTCTGGGTCCGGAGGCCTTACCAGGAGCTGATGTCAGGATGCTGTAGGATTCAGATCTGTGGGTTACAAATGCTGGGGAGTTCATCTTCACAAAGCCTAAGCTGTAGGGCATGAGTGCAGCCAGTGATATGATCATCTTGCTCTAGGAGATAGGGCTGCAAACTCCAATACCTGCCCACTGCAAGGGGATACTTTAAAATACAACAAAATTATGGTGTCTATTTTCCATTTTATGGATTTGCAGTTGAACTAAGGCTTCCTTTTCTTTTTCCTTATATTTTCTTTTCTGTTTCTTCAAATGCCCATGCCATGCTATTTTGGAAAATATTGCTAACATTCATCTTGTCATTAGTGAGATGACTAAACAGGAGTATCACAGCTTCTGGCCCTGGGCAGTTTCCATATGGTGAGCGGTGCCAAGCACCTCTGCTAATTAAATTGTGCCAAAGAAAGTTGTTAATTCTTTATCCAACTGTTTGAATGGTGAAATCTTAAATGGATATCACATAACAATTCATGTCAGTGGGAACAAGACGAAGAACTCTTAGACTGCAGAGAGCTTAGTGGATCATACTTGTTTAAAGTGCCCTAGTCCTCATCCCAGTGGTTGTGATCTGTTTTGGAACACAATGAACTAAAGAGTATTAAGACAGGGTGGAGGAATGTCAAACCTCCAGGTCCATCAATTATGTCCCTGCAGATAAATAGTTCTAGTGAGTTAATGCTGAAATGTCAGAGCCCTGGATTGTGAGACCTTGTGTGAATGTGTGGCACAGGTAGGAGATTATAAGGAGCTTTCAAAGCCTTTACACACACCAAGCAAAGCTCAAGCTCTTCTAGGCAAAAGAACACAGTGAGCACTCTCTCCTCACTCCCCTAAAGACACCTGTTCCAAGGTGAGAAAAAGTGCAGCCTTAGTCACCAAATCCCCAAAAGAAGCTCTTCCTATAAAACAGCATAACCTGAATAACTTTACCAATGCCATGCCTGTCTCCTGGATTTTTCCACTGGAAAGCAGACAAATTTTTAATTGGCTTGATCCCAAGTGCTGTGTTGCTCTACCTGGCAATTCTGAAGTATGAAAATATGCATCTGAGTACAAATAATCAAAAATGAGTTTTAAAAAAAGTCTGATCTAAAATCAGTTCTGTTTTTTTGTTTGTGGGACTGGTTTGGATTAATTTGTTTGGGTTTTTTTTTTTTGTTTTCAATGTTGCAACAACACCTACGTGAAAGGCACCTGAAAGCTACAGATTTCTCTGGATTTCCTGAGTGTTGGGATAATCAAGCCTGATTGTAGGCCACTTGCATTTAGTGCCAGAGACAGACTTCTGAATTACTGCAGTGAACGTCAGTGAACTCTCAGTCATCCAGGAAAACACTCTGCTTATGGTGAAAGATATTCTTTGAATTTGGTCATTAGCATACTGAACTGGAATTCAGTCCAAGGCTGCTGGAGAGGAGCACTTCCTTCTCTTCCATGGAAAGCAGCCAGCTAACCCAGAGGACGCAAAAAGTGGAGGATTTACCTTGGTTTCCCAACAGTTTTTCCCACCACAAATCTCATAACTCTTTGCTGATCAAAAGAGCCTTTGTCAACCTTAGAAATTTTAGCTGGGCAAGAATCCATGAATCGCACAAGTGATGTGAACAGACAGCACCTAAAAAAATGAAAGGAGGTATTTCTATACCAAAAGAATCTGCTTATGGAACTTCAATCCTGTTCAAAATTTATTAATAAAGTAGTTTCAACAGATCTTGCAGTAATTAAGGGGCTAAGTACAAGTTTCAGCTTTCATTTAGAGGTTGCCAAATCAAACCCATGTGGGACTATTCATTAGAGCCCCAGGAGTTTGGAAGACAACTGAGAAGAACACAAGGCATTGTTTATTACACATAGTCTCATCAAAAGCTTATTAGTTTGAGCAGCTGAGTTTCTGAATGTTTGGGATGGCAACATTGCAAACGAGCTCCTCGAAGGAGGCTAAACATGGCAATTTTTGACTTTTGCTGGGCATTACTTCCAGTAAATTTTCTAATGGCTTGGTCCATGGAGATCACAATAATTGTCGCTGTGACAGTGATGAGAGAACAGGGACACACAGCAAGAGAGACATGCAGGCAGTGTCCAAATAGGCTGGAGAGCCCAAGTGCTGTCTGCCCTCAGGAGTGTGATGCCTGTTTGCTGGCTTTCTTTAGAAATCAGCATTTCATCTGTAGCAAAGACTCTTGAGCCAAAATATGATAATATTCCCATGGTTTAAGAAAATGTTGCAACAATGCAGCATAATCTTCTTTTGGGATTGATATTCTTCTTGTCAATGATCTATTCATTTTTATACAGGCAAATGAACATCACTGAAAAATAAACTGTTCTAATAATACCACTGTATCTACTTGATTGATTTTTGCTTTTTAAGGCTGAAAGTAGCAGAGTGGCACAAGGGAGAACAGTCTGTACTGGGAGGACTTTGTTCTGTCGTGTCCTTTCCAGGAAGTGGCAACAGAAAGAAACCTGTTGCAAATTCCCCAATTGTACTGTGAGACAAAAAATACCAGGGCTTATCCATGTCCTGAAGTGACACTTCCTCTCAGCTTCAGCAGTGCAGCAAAGTGGGCAGCAAACAGGCAGCTGCATGGCAGACATTAAAAAGGAAACCTTAGAATTTGTGCAGGAGCTGGTAACCCTGGCACGGGCAGGCTGAGGGAAAGTCCTGCCCTGCCCAGTGACAGGGATGCCAGAGGCAGGCTCAGGGTCAGCCCTGCCCTGCCCAGTGACAGGGATGCCAGAGGCAGGCTCAGAGCAAAGGACAGCAGCACATCTGACAGTGTGGACACCAAACTTAGAGACCCTCTGGATTAACAGTCAATGGTTGTGCTGCCACTCAGGAGCAGCTCAACGGGATGAAGGAAGGTGCAAACAGGAGTCAAAGGAACTGTCCAGTTCCACACCCCAGGAACAACCCCAGGCACAGGGACATGCTGGCAACAACCAGCTGGAAAGGAGCTCTGCAGAAGAGAACTGTGGAGTCCTTGGTAGATAAGCCTTAGGAAAAACCTCTGCTGGGCCTGTCAGTCCAGTTTGACTTCAGTTGCTACACACAGCTTCAGCAGATAACCCTAATTCTGATTATCTAACAAGGCTTTTTAAATATTTTTTCCCTGCCCCACGACATTATGAGGAAATTGGG